ATATTGTTTAAAACTGGCAGAAACATTTAAGACGTCGAAGTTTACCAGCGAAGAAAAATAAACAACTAAAACTACTTTAAAATATATATAGAATGTATAATAACAATAAATGATTATTTTTCAGTTTAATTGGCTTCATTTCTTTTTACCTACGATTGAATAATGGGAATTCGGTGATGCATTTTCCTGTTCTTACGACAAACCTTTTTGAAAGAAGTAGAGGCTTATATAAATCCGAAAGCAAAATGGAAAATTATATTTAAAAGATTTTACAGTATTATGATAAACTGTTATGAACACAAATATATAAAAATTATATAGGCACTTCTCATCACTTGCAAAAAGTAAAATAATTGAATATTTTTTGGATTAAAATCATCTATCTCTTTACAATGTTATTTATAACTTCTTAAATAATTATTATTTTAATAAACCATGTCATAATTTAAACCGAAAAAAAACTACAGATGTCTAAGCTGAACGTTTACTTTTTATACTCGATGTTCCAAATGCCTTTGTGAAAGTTATAGAATTATAAGTTGATAGCGCTCGACGTTCAGGTTTTAGCGATGAAACTTCGACCGCATCTTTTCTATTAACTATATGAGTCCACTGTGAAACAAGTTTACACTTTTTTAATATACACTCTTATAACTCTGTTAGTGATATAAGTGAGTAAGTACACATGGCTTTATATACTGCCAACTTATACATATAAAAATTATTAAATATACAATTGTGCATAGCAATACGAAATTTTGTTAGCCAAGGCGTCACGATTGTATCAGTTTTGCATCAGGCTCAACTTCTTTGAAATTGATTAAACGATTTAAATCATTTTTTTCTGTATAAAAATAAAAGCCATCTTTCTGTAGTTCATAATGCAAATGTCATTTTTAAATTTTACTAGTTTCCAGGAATATATATTCTGAAATATTGTAACGTTTTTCTATTGGCGCAGTTAGCTCTAAAGTGTGCTTTTGTCAGATATTATAGATATATTTGAGATAACAGATCGCCGAACCAATGTCTTAATCAATTGTGCAGGGCCCAACTCACGTTTAATAAACTACTTTTTATGGATCCGAAAAATCAGCACCACCGACCAGTGTAAATACAGCTCAAACAAGGCAGAGTCCGCGATTTTTTGCCACAATGATTGTTCGAAATTCGCTAGCATGAGATGAAAATCTTCTCCAATAAAGGATCTTTAAGGAATAATTTGATAAAATAAGCAACTGTTTCAAAATAAACCGGATAGCCGTCTGTTTAAAGACTTTTTTGTATTCATTGAAGAACGTTGTCAAATATTACAATCACTAAAGACCACTTCCGGCTCACACCAAAAAGAAGGCGCTATAGCCTGACAGCTTCTGCCCAATCATTTTGCTGATTTACATTTCATAATAGATTTGAATATCTGTAAAAACTCTCTCAATTATAATTTAATTAAGTTAATTCTGATCAGAAAGTAAGCTATATTTCAATTGGTCAGTTCCCATGTTAGAGGTTGACAAATTGTAGTTTATTTTTGTTAATTGTGTTGTTATTATAATTGTTAAATAAAAAAAGTCTTACAACATATACACATAATCTCCTATTGTAATTGTAATATATATCTGCGTTCTGGTATTAGATAGATGATTTGCAGGTCTCTATTGCTAAATAAAAACTGTTATGTATAAGAGGAAGCAAGAAGTATTAATTTGCGTGGAAAGCGAATATTTTACATAAAATATATAAAACATATGATAAATAATTGCAGCCCGGCTTTGTAGCGATGTCATAACTAAATAATTGCTCATTTGTTTAGTATTATTTGTTACGATTTTACTGCTAAACATTAATAACGGTTACTAAAGAGCATATATTACAAATGAATTGATAAATTATTTAAAATTTTTCGTTTTATTTTAATTTCTGAAAAACACAAAACGATTTGCACACGTGGTTTAAGTGAAATTTCATTTATTAGTAGCGCTACGATGTATTACAGAACCCATTAGAAAAACTGACAGTATTTCTATTTAAAACCATATGCCAAATATTAAAATATTTAAACGATAACATTCGACGAAAGCGTTAAGAGTAGCCTTAAATTTAAAAAAAATTTACGGTTTTCTTGGTTTAAATTCGAGTTGGAGTGTTCGACCAGGATTAAGACTAATTCTGAACTTGAGTAGAGTCGTTTTTTCCACGTATCCTATTTTCATCTTTCTTAAGATAGTTGCCAGAATCAGTTTAATTTCGATCATGGCCAAACGATACCCTGTAAAAAAATAGCACGTATTAATCACACTACAGAAGTGTTAAATATGTTATTTGTATTTCATTATGCTAAAGTTTCTCACCCAGACACATCCTGGGTCCTGCCGAAAACGGGATGAAAGAGTAAGGTGGACGTTTGGAAGAGTTTTCAGGAAGAAATCTCTCAGGATCAAAAACATTAGGATTTTTAAACACGTTTGGATTGCGATGAACATGAAAAATAGAAATAACGTATATCCAGTCTTTGTTAAATTCTTCATTTCCTAAAAGAATAAAAATAAAAATTTCATTCACAATACGGTAGAATCTATCGACGTTAAATTTTACGCTTCTACTTTCCATCGTATAATAAATCTATTTTTTACAATAATTTAAATTTTGTGACACTTTTAATGCTAATTTTTTATTATTTGGTTTTATTCATTCGATCCCAAAACTAAAGAAACTCGCTTTGCCAGAAATGTATCATTAAAATACATGTTTATAGATGTGAGATTAAAACAAAGTATGAACCCTCGCTACTGCCTGAAATTCTACCTGTACACTAATTCCTGAGATTTTATTAGACACTAACTGCAAGGAAACGCTTCGCTGGATTTTTATTTGTTCGTACATTTGTATGTAATATAGTTTTTTTATATATATAAA